ACAGAGAGGGCTCTGGGCATGTCTTGATTACTTTAGTTAGGGTGGGAAAACCTACTCACTGTGGACAGTGCCATTTCTGGGGCAGGGGATGTGTATAGTATAAGAGTGGACAAAGTGTGCTGAGCTTCAGTTTTCTCTCATAACTTAGAACATAACAGGACCAGTGTTTTCAAGCTCCTGATGACATGGTTTTCCTGCCATTATGGACAATAACCTGGAAGTATAAGCAAAATAAGCCTTTTCTCTCTTAAGTTGCTTTTGTTGGGGTATTTTATCATAGCCATGGGAAAAAATCAAAGAAAACAGCATCTTTCTTTCTGATCTGTACTATCACTTTACATCTGAATAGTTTTCTTGCTGTTCTGTAATTTATGTGTTCCTTCATTTTAATGTTTTAAATAAGAGGCCAGGAGCCTGGAAATACATGGACCAGACCCCAACCAGTGATAGCATGAGGACACTATTGTGGGACACAGTATTTGGGGACAGCTTCATGGAGAAGGTTGACCTGGATCTTGGCTAGATTTAAAAATATGAGATTAGGGACTGGCCAAAGAAGCTAGAGTGATTATGAGATTCATGTTGATCTTTTGTCTTGAAGCCTCACTGTTTTATGAAAGAAGATTGGGGAGATGCCTCTTGAACTTGGAATGTGGTAGCCTTGCTTTCCATGCTCAGTCTTTATTCCTTATCGTCATCATCATTATCATTACATTTACTTATCTAGTGTATGTATGATGTGTGGGCGATCTCATCCAATGGTGTGTGTGTGTAAAGTTCACAGGACAACTTGAGGGAGTTGATTCTCTCCTTAAATATTGTGGGTCTCGGGGGTCAAACTTCAAATCATCAGATTTACCTTTATTTGCCAAGCCACATCATTGACCCCACACTTTATTCTTAGTAGGGAAAATGAATCCATTTTGAGGAGGTAATGGGGCTATAACTTAGTTATGAGAGTGCTTGCCTGCCATATGCCCTAGGTCCAACCACTCCACACCACATAAAGCTGGGCATGGTGGCATACCCCTAAACTCAGGGTAGAGGCAGGTGGGTCAGAAGTTCAAGGTCATCCTCTACTACATAGTGAGTCTAGTACTAGCATGGGATAAAAGAAACACAATCTGAAAATAATTTTTATTGTTATTCTTTTTTTCTATGAATTTTGCTGTTATCATTTGTTTGTTTTAATGTATTGGTGATGAAACCTAAGGCCTTGTATATACTAATCAAGTGCTCTACCACTGAGCTACACTCCCAATCTAAAGTACCAAGTACATACCAGACAAGAATTTTTTTCTCCTATTGTGCTGGGGATTAAACCCAGGGCCTTGCCAATATCACATGACAGTTTAGGTTAGAGTCAAATAGAGAATACTATTTTTTTATGTCCTTTAAAAATTTTTTTCATATGTGAGTACTGTATTATATCATTTCTATCCTTCTCTCTCCAACTCTCCTTTTAAATTATGTATGTGCATGTGTGTGAGGGGTGAATTACTATATAAACACAGCCTGCTGAATCCATTTAGTGTTGCTCATATGTATGTGTTTTGAAGGCTGACCTCTTGGCACTGGATAACCAATTAGGGGGCTCATCCCTGAAGAAAGACTGATTTTTTTTCCTCTCCAAGTATCGATTAATTGTCTGTAGCTCTTCATCTAGGGCTGTGACCATGTGAAGATTTCCCCTATCCGTCTTGGCATGCCAATTGGTATTATTATTGTTCATGTCTTGTTTAAGCAACCATTTGTTTGGCTGTCACAGGAGCAGGTTCCCTCTGACACATAGAAAACACAATTTCACATCAAACATCCTGATCCTCTGGCTCTTACAATCTTTCCACTTTTTCTTCTATAATGTTTCCTGGGTCTTAGGTGTACGGGTTGATTCAGAGATGTACTGGCTTGGTACCCTATGGTCAGTTGTGAGGAAAGAATATTCTTAGCAGACACTAGGTCCCCTTGAACATTGTAGAGGAAGAACAATGAGACTGTTGATCATACACAAAAGATTATCTTTATGAAAGTAGAAAAGAAGTTTTAAAATGAGTGTGCATCTATGGGTTATCTGTATTTTTTAGTTTTTTTTAACAGCAACTGAATTGGAATCAATGTGGATACACAAAGATAAGTTGAAAGTTTTGATCTCTACTTTTTCAAGAGAGAAAATAAACTGCAACTAAAAATGTAATTGGAATAAATATCTTTTAATGTTTAAGATTAGGATCTTGGCTTTACCAAATAAACCTTTGGAGAGTCACGAATTCAGATGCTCAGTGGGATAATGTGTGTGCTAACACACTGTACTGGTGTTTGGGGAAGACTTTTAAAAAAAATCAAATAGAAACATCTTTGGTGATTATACTTCAGAGAAGTGAGAAGGTTGTCAAGTTTCCTGCCAGTGGAAGTGGAAGAAAATAGAACTACGGGGATTCTTTCGATGTTCCCTTTTGTGTCCCTGCTCGTGGATGTGCTACAGGAAACAGCAAAGAGCTTCTGGCCAAGGAGGAAGCAGCTCCGAGAAAGCAAAGCCCACACTGAGAACTGGCAGTACCTTCAGTGGCCGACTAGCATTGTTCAAGCCCAAGCCATCTTCCTGTTTTCATGGAATTTGCAATCATGTTTTGTATTTAACGGGCACATATTGTAGCAACTTGGGACTTGGCTTCAAATTTATTTCCATACAAACTCCTCCACTCTACCAAATTTTAAATACTACCATTGAAACAACTATATCTACAAATCTAACTTATCAAACTTGTAGAGGAAAATAAACATCTTTTTTTTATGAAGTTCTTTGAACTAAACTAGAATTTTAAATAGTCCGGAGTCATTTTTTAAAAATCTCAAATATACAGCGACCAGAAACAGCATAATACTTGCAAAAGCACAAAGCAATGGAATGGGATAGAGAATTCGGAAATAAACCCACAAGTCTACAACCATGTAATTTTTTTGAGACAGGATTTCATGGACCCCCATGATGGCCTCCAGCTAGCTATATAGCTGAGGATCACCTTGAACTTCTGATCCTTCTGCCTCCACCTCTCTAGTGCTGAGATTACATGCATTGCCACTACTCCCAGTTTATATGGTCCTGGGGGGTCAAACTTAGGGCTTTGTGTTAGACAAGAATTCTACAACTGAACGACATGGTCAGCCCCAGCCTGGTAACATTTTGTGAAGGCAGCTAGAGCCTACACAGAGCAAAGCAATCTCTCTTCAATAAATGGTGCTGGGGAAACTGGATATCTACACACAGCAGGACTAAGCTAGAAACTGCATAAACCCAGCTCAAAATGGATCAAAATCTTAAATATCAGACCAGAAACTCTGAAACTACTAATAGGAAAACATGGAGAATGCTTCAGGAAATTGATCTAGGCAAAGAATTTGGAGAGGTCTATGACTCCTAAAGATCAGGCAAAGTTAACAAGTGAGGCTATATCAAACTAACACACTTTGCACAGGTAAGGAAATAATCAAGGAAGTAAAGAGATGGCCCAGAAAATAGAAAAGATTTGTAAAGTATTCATCTGACAAGAGATTAACATATAAGGAACATAACAAGAGCAGTAAAACGAAGTAATTGGATCAAAAAACAGGGCAAATGACCCAAACACACATTTCTTAAAAGACAATGAAAAAGTAGTCAAAAGCATATGAAAAATATCCAATAGGAGGCCAGTGAGATGGCTCAGCAGATAAAGGCACCTGCTGCCAAGGATCACATCCTGCGTTCAATTCCACAACCTTCATGGTGTGAGGAAAACTGACCCTCAAAATTTGTTCTCTGACCTCTGCATTTGCCATGCCATGCACACATTCCCCCAACGATAAAGTAAATAAACACTAAAGAAAAACATTAATATACATATATATATTTATATATTTATTTAAATCCCAAGGTCCAAGCAACAGAACTGTCAATTACATCAGATCACCACCTGTGAGAGTCCAGTGAGCAGACAGCTTAAGAGTCAGTGCTTGTCAGTGTTTACTGTTTACATGGGTCACTGTGGACTTTGATGAATATATAGATTTTGAGTATGGACTTGTGTGGGCAAGAATGCCAGCATTTCTATTGCATTTCTGCAGGTCTCCCAGATCCATGGGTATCAAAGGAGGAATTTGATAGAGATCAAACACTGATCCCTATTCAAGCTCTAAAGAATTTGGTAAAGCCACACAAGCCCAAACCCTGTCCTCTTCCATGAAACCTGAACTTTGTCTTAAGACACAAGAATTGGTATAAGAACTGCTAGCCCTTAGCCACGAAATCCCTTAACCCTGCTAGTGATGACAGATGTCCCACTACCTTTCCTATTCCTTTCTTTCTTTCTTTCTTTCTTTCTTTCTTTCTTTCTTTCTTTCTTTCTTTCTTTCTTTCTTTCTTTCTTTCTCTCTTTCTTTATTTCTCTTTCTTTCTTTCTTCCTTCCTTTCTTCCTTTCTTACTCACTTTCTTTCTTTCTTTCTTTCTTTCTTTCTTTCTTTCTTTCTTTCTTTTGTTTTTGTACTTGGTAAAATTCTAGCATTCAAACACCTCCCCAAAAAAATCGAAAAATGGGGTTTCAATGGAGTCTCCCAATGGGCATTGTGCTGGATAGTTTTATGTCAATTTGACACAAGCTAAAGTTATCCAGGAGGAGGGAGCCTTAATTAAAAATGCCTCCAGGGTTTCTCTCCATAAACTGATAGAGGATTGTGCACAGGGTAGGGAGGTGACAGGGCAGTGACACACACAGACATTGTGCGAAGGACAACACCCACACAGTTCACTGAACGTGGAGAGGTTGACCTGGTGTCTCCATGGAGCCTTCACCTCTGAGCTCTAGTCTCTATGTTGCAGGAAGGTTTTCTGCAGGCTACCAAAAGAGAAACATGAACACCAACCCAGCCATAAAACCTTTGACCTAAAATCTGCCCTGTTTTCAAGATGTGCTGGGACAATGGTGGAGCAGAACTTGTGGGAGTAGCCAACCAATGTCTGATTTACCTTCAGGCCCATTCCACGAGTGGGAGTCCATACCTGACACTGCTTGGATAGCCAGGAATTGGAGACTGGATAGCCCAGAGACCTAGGGTAGAACCAAATAGGACTGGTCTTGAAGAAGAAAACAAAATAAATGAAATGATTCCTAACAATGTTCTAATATTCTGCTAAACTCATAAATTAGTGCCTTGTCCAGTAGTCATCAGACAGGGTTCCTCAGCAGCAGGTGGGAATGGATGCAGAGACACACAGCCAGACATTATTCATAGAGAGAATCTAAATTAGAGGTCCCTATTGAGTCCCTTCCCATGGAAGGGGATCCCACAGAGGACTGAACAGAAAGATTGTAGGAGTCAGAGGGGATGGAGGACACCAAATCAACTAAGCAAGATTCATGGGCTCACAGAAACTGAAGCAGCAAACGCAGGGCCTGTGATGTCTGCACCAGGTCCTCTGCATATGTGTTGTGACTCTTAGCTCGGTGTTTTTGTAGGACTCCTAACTGGGAGCACGTGTGTCTTCTACTCTTTTGCCTGCTCTTGGGACTCTTTTCTTCCTGTTGGGTTGCCTCATCCAGCCTTGGTGTTAGGGTTTTTGCCACGTCCTATTCAATAAGACTTACTGCATCTTGTCTCAATATGTTTGGTTGTTGTCTCTTGGAGGCTTGCTCTTTTCTGAATGGAGATGGAGAGGGACTGGGGGAGAGGAGAGGTAAGGGGGCTTGGAGGAGTGGAGGGAGGAGAAACTGTGGTCAAGATTATCATATGAGGGAAGAATCTATTTTCAGTTTTTAAAAAAAGCCTCTATAAAATCAGGTTTATATATATATATATATATATATATATAAAATCAGGCAAGCCTGTAAGGCACTTTCTTAATTAGTGATTAATGGGGGAGGGCCCAGCTCATTGTGGGTCATGCCACTCCTGGGCTGGTGGTTTGGGGTTCTATAAGAAAGTAGGCTGAGCAAACCAATAAGCAAAACCCCTCCATGGCCTCTGCATTAGCTCTTGCCTCCAGGTTCCTGCCCCCTTTTGAGTTCTTACCTGACTTCCTCCAATGATGAGCAGTGCTGTGGAAGTGTAAGCCAAATAAACCCTTTCCTCCCCAACTTGTTTTTTGATCATGGTGTTTCATAACAGCAATAGAAACTTAACTAAGACAAGTTGGAGCCAGAATCGTAGGGTATTGCTGTGACAGACCTGACCATGTTGTTTTGGGGAGGATTGTGAAAGGACTTTGGAACTTTGGCCAAGAAAAAAACACTGAGTGTTCACTGCTTAGTGAGCTATTCTGTAGGAGCTTGGAAAATAAGAATGTTGAGGGAAATGCAGATGATGGAGGCTTGGATTGTCAAGTTTCAGAGGGATGTTTAAAGACTTATCAGGACCATTTGTTATTTTAAATTAAGATTCTGTGGTTCTGGTTGACTGTGGCTAGAGAATCACCTGTGATTAACAAGATACCATAACTACTAAAGCAAAACCTTTGCTTTGCTGGGATACTTAATGCTGGAGCTAAGAAATTATCAGTGATTAAGAAAAGACCAGCATCACTGAGGTGAAATCTTCTGGGAAGTGTTTCCTCAGAGTCAGCACACAGAAGCTGTGTACCAGAGGTGGCCAAGGTTATACTTCACAATGGCAGCTGAACTTGGTACTGTAAGAGTCATCCAGATGGTACTGGTTTTGGAGGCATGAAGGAGTGGATAGTGAAAAGCAGCTGAGGCTTGGCACTGTGTGAGGCCAGGAGAGGCCACTGGTGAAGGTACAACATCAGTGGCAGTTGAAGGCCCAGGACTGAAGGGGTCATACAGAGAAGCTGAGGTTTGGCACCATGAAGAGAGCCTATGAGAGGCTATTTGTGAAAGTGCAGTCCACTTGCAGCAGAAGACCCCTGTTTTGGAGATGCCAATACCATGGGATGATCACCAAGAAAAGCAGCAGCTATGCCCCAGGCTAGAAGACAAGCTGTGTATGTTTAAAAGGTGAAGACAAAGAAGTGACCTAAGGCCCTAGGAAGAGCCCAGAAGATTGTGAGTAAATCCCAGACATTGGAAGTTGAGTTATTTTCATTTTTAGAGTTTGGTTTTGCTTTGATTTGATTGTGACTGTGCCCTGGTTTTTCCCTCTTGAAATAAGAAAGTACTTAATTTATTTTTTATTTTACAGACCCCACAGTGTAGCATGAATCTTAAAAGGTCTTATTAATAAAAACAAACCCAGGGCCAGGTATTGGGATGAATGCTGGAAGATCAGAGAAACAGAACAGGCCACAGCTAACCTCACCTTGCCAACTTCTCAGCCGATCCTGTTTCCTCAAACTGGAAGCCTCTGAGTCCTCATCTGAATGAATCTCAGCTGAACTACTGCTAAAAAGCCTAAAACAGACTCTAGTTCCTGGTCCTCACACCTTATATACCTTTCTGCTCCTGCCATCACTTCCTGGGATTAAAGGCTCTTGTTACCACACCTGGCTGTTTCCAGTGTGGCCTTGAACTCATAGAGATCCAGGCGGATCTCTGCCTCTAGAATGCTAGGATTAAAGATGTGTGTTCCACCATTTTCTGGCCTCTGTATGTAGTTTCCAGTGTGGCCTTGAACTCATAGGGATCCAGGCGGATCTCTGCCTCTAGAATGCTAGGATTAAAGGTGTGTGTTCCACCATTTTCTGGCCTCTGTATCTAGTGGCTGTTCTGTTCTCTGACCCCAGATAAGTTTATTAGGGCGCACAATATATTGGGGAACACAATATCACCACATTTCCCCTTTTTTGTCTAAAATTAAGAAAAGTTTATAACTAATACAAGAAAAACTATATCCAATAAGTATATACAATATATACAGTCAAGAATTATATTAACAATGTCCAATCTATTAACATTTGGCAAATTCAGATAAAAATTTTCATTACTTATCCTATTCAAAACAAGTAGTTCCTTTTTTAAAAGTAGATTCAATAATCTCCCTTTTATCTTATCACCACAGTAGAGAGACTGAATTTTAAAAGACTTTAGATTATAAAAGAAAATGGCTATTTTAAAGAGACTGAACTTTTAATGTATTTGAATTTGTAAAGACTGGGAAACTTCTAAAGTTACTTATATATTTAATGTGAGATCTTGGGGATGAATGAGAAAGGAAAGGTTGTGGCTTAACAATGGTGTGTTTGTGTCAAGTTGACAAGGGGTCAATTTTGCTGGATAGTTTTATTTCAACTTGACACAAGCTAAAGTCAACTGAGAGGAGGGAGCCTCAACTAAGAAAATTCCTCCAGTAGGGCAGTGGTGGCTCATGCCTTTAATCCCAGCACTCAGGAGGCAGAGGTAGAGGCAGGCTGATCACTGAATTTGAGGCCAGCCTCGTCTACAGAGTATCAGGATGGCCAAGGCTACACAGAGAAATGCTGTCTTGAAAAACCAAAAGAATAAAAATGCCTCCAAAAGATAGGGATGTAGGCAAGCCTGTAAGGCATTTTCTTAATTAGTGATTAATGGGGGAGGGCCCAGCCCATGGTGAGTGGTGTCATCCCTGGGCTGCTGGTCTTGGGTTCTATAAGAAAGCCCACTGAGTCAGCCATTAGGAGCAAGCCCGTAAGCAGTATTCATCCATGGCCTCTGCATCAGCTCCTGCCTCCAGATTCCTGGCCTAGTTGAGTCCCTATTCTGATTTCAACAATGCACAGTGATGTGGAAGTGTAAGCCAAATCAGCCCTTTCCTTCCCAACTTGCTTGTTGGTTCTAGTGTTTCATCAAAGCAATAGAAACCCAAACTAAGGCAGTCATATAAAATGCACTGCTCAGTTTCAAATAATAGTTGCTACTGCAGGCCCATCCCTCAAGCTGTCCTGTCCACATCTTTGCACAAGTGTGAGAACATGTGACAGTCTGGCAGGGGCTGGATAGATGGCTTAGAGGTTAAGAGTGTTGCCTGCTCTTCCAGAGGCCCTGAGTGCAATTCCCAGCAACCACATGCTGGCTCATAACCATCCATAATGAGATCTGGTGCCCTCTTCTGGCCTGCAGGCATACTTGCAGGTGGAACATAATATTGTATACATAATAAATAAATAAATAGATAGATAGATAGATAGATAGATAGATAGATAGATAGATAGATAGATAGATAACTATCTGGCTTGTGAATCATACGATGCTACAAAGTGCTATTTTCCACTATATTTTAGGGATGAATTTTTGTGCTATTTTGAGAAAACTGGCCCACTTTTTTTCCCTCTCAAAGCAAACAGATAGATCTCCCTTAATTGATCTCCTGTAATGATTTACCTTATTAAATGTATTTTTTATCTTTTACTATTAATAAAAATAGCTAATGCTTATTGTGCACTTAGAATGCCAAATACTTTGAAAACATTTGACGTCATTCAATGCTTATCCTCCTAGCAATTTAAGATTGGAAGCAGTTGCCCCCTTTTAACAGAAGAGATAGTTAAGGCACTGGCCAAGTGGACACATCTGTGAGGTAGCAGAATGGGATGAGAAGGCTGGAACTTTTGTTACCTAATTTTCTGTTGTACTGGTCTCCATGTTGTTCATATCAATCCACGTGCACGTCTCTTCATTAAATATTCTTAGTTTATTTTCCTTTTAAAGATATTTTTTAAAAAATATTTTTAGGTTCATTTATTTTATGTATAGGAGTGCTTTGCCTGTGTGTATTATGTGTACCAAGTGTATGTTTGGTGCCTGAGGAGGTCAGAAGAGGTCTTTGAATGCCCTGGAACTGGAGTTACAGATGGCAGTAAACCATCCTGTGGGTGTTGGGAACTGAACCTGGATCCTCTGCAAGAACATCAACTGCTCTTAACCACTGAGCCATCTCTTCAGTGTCCCCCACTCTGATTTAAAGACTTTTGTTGTGCCTAACCTCCTCCCTTAGCTGGAACCATAAGTACCATTATGTCTGGCTGCAGCTTTGTGCTCATGGCAAACTGGAACAGACAGAGTTCCAGTTACCTACTTCGTCTCACCTATGCACAGTCTCCTCCTGCCAACATCCCCCACCAAGCCATGCATTTGCTTCCAGTGAAGGTCCTACACTAACAGCTATCATGAGTTTAACCCAC